GCTGGAGCCAGAGATGGGAGCTCACTCCATCATGGGGCAACCCGGGTCTTGAACTGCTGAACTATTGACCTTCCACAGCCTGCAATTCAGCGTCTTAACCACTTGAGCCACCGCAGCTCCTAAGTGGTTACACAGCTGTAATTCAATATAGAACAGTTAGACTGATTATTGTTTATCCAGGGAGCTTCTTGACAGAGTGGGGATTTGAACCTGGGTCTCTTGGGCAGTGTTCCCTCTAAGCCGAGTTAGTGTGAGCTAGCTCATGGTTTTTTAGCCTCTGGCTCACACCTTTTTGTCTTTAGCTCGGGAAGGATGGCTCCAGAGCAAACTAATTTATGCAGTAGCCAAGTTGCTCGCTCACAACTTTAATGCCAGTAGCTCACAAAGTAGAATTTTTGCACACAAGATTCCACAGCTTAGAGGGAGCATTGATGTCTCTCACTGTTCTGGCTTGTTCAAAGCAACCGTGGTGGTCCAAATTGGTGGGTGGTATTTTAAACCATTTCCCGGTGCGGTTTTCCATGTTCCCCTGGAGATGCTCTTTGCTTCCAAAGGACACCCCTATATACTTCCCTTTTTGGGGAAACTAGCTGACGCAATGACGCATCTCAAAGAGTCTGAACTCCCTTTCCCAAAAGCCCCGTTTGACATGGTCTCCATCACCTTTACTAATGTTATTAACTCTCTCCTGTTAATTTTTTGATATTATTCCCATTTTATTACTGTTTTAATTCGTTTTATATCAGAATTGTACTGTTTTACTGGCTCCTGCCACAATAAATTAGATTGAATAGAGGGAGCATTGCTCCTGGGTCCTAATCCAATTTGCTAACCATTACACTGCATTAGTGCTCTTGAGAATGTTGGTTCTGTGAGTTTGCCCATGACTTTTTTCCTTTTACATTATGGAAGCCACTACCTCTATAGGAAGACTAGTGCTGATGAAGCAACTTGTTCAGATTTACCCTCTTGAAGTTTTTTTTTTCTATTGATGTTGCCCATAGTTCCTTTCTCCCCATAGGTTTCCAAATCTTTCCCCTCTTGGGTGGGGGGGCAACATGGCGGAGCTAACAGAAAACTATCAGAGGGGGATGGGGGAAGAGAATTAAGCAGCTTCTCTCCCTCTGCCTCCCCAGTCTTCCTATTCAGTTTTCACCCTCCACGGTCTTTAAAAAAAAAAAGGAAAAAAATACTGGGGAAAATACAGATGGTTGAATGTTGTGCAATTTGACTTTTCAAAACTCAGGGATTCTGAAATTCAAATAAGTTGGGTGAGACATTTCCACTCAATTACTTTCAGACCAGAATTGAAGAGTTCTTTGACACTTTCCATAAACTGTCATGCTTTTTTACAAATCCATTTGTGAGACACAATTACATGAGTACTGCCATTAGAATCATAGAATCACAGCGTTGGAAGGGGCCAGACAGGCCATCTACTCCCACCCCCTGCTCAGTGCAGGATCAGCCTAGAGCACCCCTGACAAGTGTTTGTCCATACACTGCTTAAAAACTGCCAGTGAGGGGGAGCTCACGATCTCCCTAGGTACGTGATTCCACTGTTGTAAAAGAGTTTTTCCTAATATCCGGCTGGTACCTTCCTGCCCTTAATTTAAACCCATTATTGCAAGTCCTCTCCTCTGCTGCCAACAGGAACAGCTCCCTGCCCTCCTCTGACGGCCCTTCAAATACTTAAAGAGAGCAATCATGCCCCCCCCCTCTGCCTCCTCTTCTCCAGACTGAACATTCCCAAGTCTGTCAGCCTTTCCTCATAGGGCTTGGTCTCCAGGCCCCTGATCTTCCTCATCGTTCTCCTCCGCACCCACTTCATTCAATCCAAAGGGATTGATCCCTTTAAAATCTGCTCCAGATTTTACATTAGGATTTCTGTCTGCAAACCAAACAGTCTGATTTTTATGCACATTTGAAAATCTGGCAGAATTTCAGATCTCACGCTTTTGAGCTTCAAACATTTCCAGGTTTCTTCTCTGATTTAATTTTGATGGCATTAGCATACTTTTAGATGACAAATTATTTTGTCTTCTTCTTCTTCTTCTTTTTGCCAAGCTGTCTTTATTCTTCTAAGCGAATCACACATGAATGCAAATGGGTATTTATACTGCTTGTATACTACAAAACCTATGATGCAGCACCATTAAGAGAGAACATGTGCGTACTGAACAATTATACTGGACAGTGCAATATGCAACCTTTCCTTGTCGAAGAGAACTAGAAGCAAATATTGAGTCCTTACAAAGGGCCAAACCAGAGGAGTTATGAAAGATCTGTGATGAAGATCTTTGCTAGTTTTTAAAGAAACGTAAGTAGTAACCACGGGGGTTACTGTCATGAGAGAGAGTGTTTAACCCTAGCCATCCTAGTCTTTTCTACAATTATAAAAGCGCACACACAAATTAAAAACTGCAAATTTTCCTCTGTGTTGAGAAAATGCTTGAAATTGTGTTTTCCTCCATGCAGAATTAATTGATACTGGAAGGGGGAGGCTATTTAAATTGTGCAAGAGCCACAGGAAGGAAAGGACTTTCCTTGACCTTCGGAACAGTAGCCTGGAGCCGGTAATTCAATTGGACACATGGACGCATGAAGTGGCCTTGTGCTGAATCAGACCCTTGCTCCACCAAGGTCAATATTGTCTTCTCCAACTGGCCGTGGCTCTCCAGGGTCTCAGGCAGAGCTCTTTCACATCATCTACTGCCTGATCCTTGTAACTGGATATGCCAGGGATTGAACCTGGGACCTCCTGTGTGTCCAGCAGAGGCTCTGGCACTAAGCCACACAGCCCCTCCCAATTCTTTAAGCAATGTGTGCTGGGGTTTTTTTGGCAAAAGATCTTAATCAAAAAATTATTTGATTCTTCTCTGGTTTGGCCCAAAGGCTGAGTCACTGGGCTTGGTCCACAGAAGCTGGGCACTGCCCAAAGAGGAAACACACTATAAATAGAGGCCTCCTCTCTGCTGCCATTCCCAGACTCCACCGGAGAAAGAAAAAAACCCATAGCAAAGATGAAGCTCCAGCTTGTGGCTGCTTTCCTGGTCGTCTGCCTGCTCTCTCTGCAGGGCATCAGAGCTGCTCCTGTAAGGATGAACCTGGCTTATGGGTGGAGGGTGGCTGGCTAAGGACCTCTCTGCAGGGGGAACAATGTCTGTTTCTCTGCATTCAGATGAAAGGGTCGAATGATCTGAGATGTTGGGAGATCTGTGTTCAGAGCGGGTTTCTTTTTCTCTCTGGACCCCACCTTGTGGGGAGGCCAGGAAGTCTCCCACACTGCTGCCATTGCGTAAACTACGTAAGGCAGTGTTGTTCAGAAGGGCACTTTAAAAAAAAGGTAATAGAACTACAGTAATGGAGGCTAAGCAGGGTCAGCCTTGGTTAGTACTTGGATGGGAGTCAGGGTTGCTACACAGAGGCAGGCGATGGCAAACCTCCTCTGCTCCTCTCCTGCCTTGAAAGCCCTCCAGGGTCATCAGACGTCAGCTGTGACTCAACGACCTTTCCCATGGAAGTCAGTCCTAGTGGCCCCGACCTGGATAGCCCAGGCTAACCTGATCTTGTTAGATTTGAGGAGCTAAGCAGGGTTGGCTCTGGTTAGTATGTAGATGGGGGACCACCAAGGAAGTCCAGAGTCACTAGATAAAGTCAGGCGATGCCAAAGCATCTCTGAATGTCTCTGGTCTTGAAAACCCTATGGGGTTGCCATTGGTTGGCCGCGACTTGATGGCACTTTCTACCACATTGCAGGATGGTTCGGGAAGGTGCTTTTATGAGCAGGACAGGACTATAGCCTATGCCCCTCTATGTGCCATATATTGTCTGTTAGTTGCATGTGTTATTCTGTTCTCCCTGCATGGCTTTCTACTGTTGTAATTCCATATTCTGTATCACTTGATGTTATCACATGGGATACTTTTTTCCCACATCCTTTCTACCTTAAACAAAAATCCAAATCCTATTGCATTGCCAGTGAGATTTCACACGCTATCGGATTGCTGTGTTTTACATCATGTAATCTGCTTCGAGTCTCCATGAAAAAGGCTGTCAAGTAAATAAATAAGAATGAAGGTGATGGAGACCATGTCAAATGGGGCTGTTGGGAAAGGGAATTCAGACTCTTTAAGATGCGTCATTGCATCAGCTAGTTTCCCAAAAAGGGAAGTATATAGGGGTGTCCTTTGGAAGCAAAGAGCATCTCCAGGGGAGCATTTTGATTTGGAAAACGGCACCGGGAAATGGTTTAAAATACCACCCACCAATTTGGACCACCACGGTTGCTTTGAACAAGCCAGAACAGTGAGGGACATAATGCTCCCTCTAAACTGTAGAATCTTGTGAGCAGAAATTCTACTTTGTGAGCTACTGGCATTAAAGCTGTGAGCGAGCGATTCGGCTACGGCATAAATTGGTTTGCTCTGGAGCCATCCTTCCTGAGCGAAGACAAAAATGGGTGAACCGGAGGCTAAAAAACTGTGAGCTAGCTCACACTCACTCAGCTTAGAGGGAACACTGGTGAGCAGGGCTTTTTTTGTAGAAAAAGTCCAGCAGGAGCTCATTAGCATAATAGGCCACACCCAGCAGCAGAAACCCATTAGTATATTAGGCCACACTCCCTGACTGCACCACTCATTAGGATATTAGGCCCCACCCCCATGTTACCAGAAGTGTGGTCATCCAGCCACACCCACCTTTTGCTTCTTATTCTGTTTACCTTGTTTGTTGTCAAAACCCAGGGCTTTTTTTGTTGCAGGAACGCCTTTGCATGTTAGGCCACCCACCCCTAATGTAGCCAATCCTAATGAGTTTCTGCTGTTGGGTGTGGCCTATTATGCTAATGAGTTCCTGCTGGGTGTGGCCAACTTGGGAGCCAGCCGGAACTCCGTTCCTGTGAGTTCCCGCCCAAAAATAGCCCTGCTGGTGAGAGTCCCAGCCTCCTAGAATCATGTCAAGTCACCCCCCTAAGAAGGTCTTCTCTTTTCGTTCTTTAGCAGAACGGTGGCAGTTTTGATGGCAATGACGTGGGATCCCAGAGCTTCAACAACAATGGCGTAAGTACACAGAATCCTGCTGTATTTTTGGAGGGAGTTTACTTTGGGTTGCCAGTTCCAGGTTGGGAAGTTTCTGGAGTTTTCGGAGTGGAGCCTGGGAAAAGTGGGGTTTGGGGAGGGGAGGAAGGAACCTCAACAGGGTACAATGCCATAGAGTCCACCCTCCAAAGCAGCCATTTCCTCCAGGAGAACTTATCTCTGTAGTCTGGAAATCAGTTGCAAATGCAGGAGATCTCCAGGCCCCACCTGGAGGTTGGCAACCCTAATTCAGATTACTAGTATCACTCATTCCTTAGCAGAGGGGGGATCTCTGCAACAAGAGCAAAACTTTCAGCTATGGTTGTCCCTTTTTTTTGAGGCCTTCTGGATGCTTTATTTAAAAAAAAATAAAAAATAAAAAGGATAAAAATATTTACCCTTTAAAATCTCCTTTTGTGCTAGGCCTCCTTTGGGGCTATTAGCATGCCATCCCATCTTAGTGTAATGGAAATTTTATTGTTCTGGAAGATTTAAATTATCTAGGAAGGTGTGGGTTCTGTTGATACAACTTTGAGTGTTTGATGGTGTTCCTAAATTCCACTTTGTCTACTTTTCTTTTTTAACAGAACAATGCCTATGGTGCTGAAGGAGTAAGTATCAGCCAGCGCACATGACATTTCTAGACTGGCACTGTTCTCGAATAACCTGTATCACTACTGGGATTCTAAGAACTCTCAAAATCCTAAAGAGAATGTACAAGCCAGACCTATTAGTTGAGAGGAACTGCTAGGACCCAGATTTTGAGGTGATCAGGGTAGAGAGAAATACTTTTTTAGATCAAGTAACTCAAGTATCAGGTTCAGGCAACTGGTCACAGGGCAAGTCCAGGCCAGGCCATATATGAGATTCATTACTGAGACCCAACACAATCGTCTCAGTAACACAACTGCCTGGAGGCAACAGCTTTATACCTCAAGAGTAGATCTCATTGGCCCTTCTGATCAGCTGACCTTCGTAGCTCTCATTGGTTCTTGTAGTCAGTTTGCAGTTCCCTTGCTGGCCATCTTGAGGATGGCGCTGTGGAGCAAAACAGATTGTGTCAGCCACTCGGTCTGCATGTTGGCAGCACAGAGAGAGTCCCAAGCTAGTGGCTGAGGTTCCTGGTTCTGAGTATGAGCCTCCCAGCACTTGACAAGAAACTGACTTCAGCATCCCTTCATGGTTGGAATGGTCTGATAGTGTCAAAAAATTATCACCATTTAGAAAAAGGGTTGCTGGGTGCTCAGCTGGCTGGCTGGGTACCCATCTGGGAGCTTGAGGTGAGAGCTGAGTTGGGAAAGATCTCCTGGGGACCACTGGATTGACAGAAGATGCTTTGGTGAACAACAGACACGGATATGGCCACCCTTACTGGACTGGCTTTGCCAAGAGATCCTGTTGCTACAGTTGGAAGCAACCCATGCCCAGTGTTAGCCTTCCAGGTTTAATAAGCATCTGGACTTATGGGCTCTTAATGGAGAACTTTAGTAGATGCAGATTTTCCACCCTATGACGGCAGAAGCAGGGTGGAGACTACTACTTTCTTGACTCAGTCCTATATCGGGCATCCAGAGTATATTTAGGAAGTAGCCTTTATGTTTCCAACAGAGACACTTGTACTGCAATCCTGTGCAGAATTAATCCAGTCTAAAGTTCTTAAAATGGAGCTGCGGTGGCTCAAGTGGTTAAGACGCTGAACTGCAGGCTGTGGAAGGTCGGTAGTTCAGCAGTTCGAGACCCGAGTGTGCCGCACGACGGAGTGAGCTCTCATCTCTAGTTCCAGCTCCTGCCAACCTAGCAGTTCGAAAGCAAGAAATTGCAAGTAGATAAATAGGTACCACTTCGGTGGGAAGGGAACAGCGTTCCGTGCGCCTCGGTGTTTAGTCATGCCGGCCACATGACCACGGAAACGTCTTCGGACAGCGCTGGCTCTTCGGCTTTGAAACGGAGATGAGCACCGCAACCCTAGAGTCGGATTTGACTGGCTTTCGAGCAAGGGAACCTTTACCTTTAAAGTCCTTAAAATCTGTGGGCTCAGACTGAAGTAACTTTCAGTAGGATTTCACTGTCCATTTTTCTGATGGTGGCTGTGTTTCCATCATAGTGGGGGCAGCAGCTGAGTGCTGAATAAGCCTTCGGAAGCTGCTATTGAAAGCCAGGGCTTCACTGTACTGTAGACCACTCTAATCTTACAGGAGTGTTTTAGTGCCCTCTGTTGGTCAGATCATAGAGTCTCCGCAGAGCCGCAATCAAGGCGTTTAGAATGCAGCTTGATTCCTTCTGTATAGAATTGGACTGCAAATCGGTACCAAGGCCAACATCTGCTTTGATTTCCATATTCAGTCCCAGGATTATGAGAATCAGGATTTTAGGGTTTTCTTATACCAGATACTTGAGAGAGGCTATCCTGGAATCTTCCTGCCCCTCAGGGCAATGGGGAACTCCCAAACACCAACACCCCCTTTGTGTTTCCCCCCCCCTAGAATGGTGGCAGCTTCGATGACAACACTGCTGGGGACAACAGCTTCAACAACAATGGCGTAAGTAGGGTTGCCAACTCTGGGATGGGGAATTCCTAGAGATTTGGGGGCAAAGCTTGGAGAAGGATCCGAGCAGGATATACTGCCATAGACTCCACCCTCCAAAGCAGCCATTTTCTCCAGCGGACTGATCCATGTACTCTGGAGATCAGTTGTAATTCTAAGAGCTCTCCAGGCCCCACCTGGAGGTTGGCAACTATGGACCTACACATGAGAAATCGGCACAATCTCCTTGATTCACCATCCTTTGACTTGATTGGGCAGCTTGTCATAGGCCATAGTTGTAGCATTTGAAAGCCCTCTGCCTAATGCAGGAGAGCCGTTTCTGGGAGCCTAGTGGGTATTTTACACCTTATCATGCCACTAGTCTTCAACAGCATAGTTCATCTCCATGACTCATCTCTCAAGTTACCAGCCAGACAGCTTTTCCTAAGACTTGTCCTTGAAGACCAACCATAAATTTCAACTGGTGTAAAATGTAGCAGCCCACTTACTAGTTGGGGCCTGATGCTTGGTACAGCTTTCTTGTCCTATTCCACAACACCCAGGAAAAAGGAAGTATCTTTTAGATTCTCTCCCCCCGCCCCCATTTGATACATGCCTGAGTATC